ATACCACATCAAAATGCATATAAAAGCACTCTCTACATGGGTTTTTTAAACAAAATTCCGTCATTTGCGGGTTGTAGGTTCTAAAAATTGATTTCCTCGTGCTCGGGAAGGCTATTCTACCGAGTTACCGTACACCTGGATCGCGTGCCATCTATTCTAAAATCATTCAGGAGTCTGAAGCAAAGTTTCTACGAGGCGCTGGACAACTCAAATGGTACATAGATTTCTGTTTCGTCAAGAAAGAACATGAAACAGGCTGACACATTGTACCGTAGTGAACTCCTTTGAATCTATCACGATAATCGAGTATGTCAATGTATTCGATTTCAATTTGGGAAGAAAACCAAATGAGTGAGCTATGTTTTGGATATTTATGATAACAATATAGCATTTGTTTGCTCACCCAACATCTAGAATTTCATTCTTCTCGAAAGTCAGCGAGCCTATGAGCTCGTTTTTCTGAAAAAGTGTTTACGCTGTTTCTGAAGTCTTGAGTAAATTTGGATGTTGTCAAAATCGATGAATACTACTGTAGTTAACTCATTTCCAAACAGTTCTTTCTTCAATGTTTCCGTGTGAGGCTGTTGCTGCGTGAGATTTTGTAAGACCAGCGAAAGCAGAACTAGATATCAAATTGTGAAGTCCCAACTGGATCCCCATATACGACGCTAACCTGTCTTTCGAGAGAGATAATTCGTGTGTGAGTCTTTGTGTTTACGCGATCGCTGTTCTGTGCTGAAATCCCGTGTTGTCAAGGAATAGTGATCAATTCAAAACGCAAATGAAGTACAGGTGAACAAGTTTAATCCGCGTCCACGAGATGTTAGATTTAGATGCACTCAATAAAAGCCTACTCAGCGCAGCCTGGTGAGTAAGTCAATTCAAAGTTTGCACAACGTTGGAGCCTGATGGTTCCATTACTTCAATCTACTGAAACAAGCGTATGAGCTGCAAACTATGTAGTAAGCACCATAAATAGTGTATTTCACTTTAAATGCACTTCGGATTTGGTGTTCGAACATGTACCATTCTGGTGAATTCCGTGATAGAAAACGTGAAGTATGAGACTACTAGTGGGAACACGCAACTTTTTATATACCTTGGATTGACTTACATCATTTCATTGATATTGGCCCAGTTTATTACACGTTTGCCACTCCAACATCCCGGGGTTCGAACACTCAAACCAACGATGTCACAGGTGACAGATAGCGAACTGGAGACTCAAGGTTAATGAGAATAAAGTAGAGAATATTTCTATCTGGCAACATATACCAGGTGTTTCTCACGCGACTTATAGAAATAACAATGTTAAAAATATCAACTCAATGTGTCAACTTGATTTTTCTGAAAACTAATCAACTGCATTTTTAGTAACAACTTAAACTTACTTTTCAAGGGAAAATTCATTTTTCCGGAGTTCCACAGGAGTGTATCAAAATACTTGTTTCATTGTGCGTTCACCATCAACACGTGTTTCGTCCAATACGATGGACAAATGCACACAGAAGACACAGACAGACAGACGTACATGGTCGTGCTCACACACATAGCTGTCCACACAGGCTCCTGCTGATAAATGCTGATTAACAACATCCCTAGTCGATCCGTATTCGAATTTACTGCATTCCGTCTGACTACGCTTAATTTGTCCTAGAGGAACCGTTTGCGTCTCCCAGCATGCTTGTATTTTTCTGAATGAAGATACGCTGAGAAATTTCTGTCATATGCTACCACATGCAACGTAATAATACCAATCGAAATTACTTCATGGTAAGGACACTATTTTGAAGAAGTTGCCTAAGCCATATCAGAAACAATGGTTGATTCAGTTTGATCTTAATAATTCAAGAATTGCGAAGCTTCTGTCTTGTGTTCAGAAATTTCAAGCACGTCTATCATAGTCACATGCTGGTCTACAAATCATGCGGTGAACCCGAATTGGAAACCACGACTGATTATCAATTCATAAACTACTATTCAATGATACAAAATGTCCCTACACTGATGTGATTGACGTCAGTAAGCAGCGATGAACAGCTTGTGATTATGCTGGTAGAACAACAAATTTTATTTGATTCAAATTTTCCGGCTGAGAATGACACATAATCCGTTAGCTGATCACGATGCATCATTGTCAAAAGTTTGTTTCAATTATTGAATTTCCGTCTGAATGTCAAGTTTAGTCCTGAATTGAAGCCGACCAAGCAACCATATTTGGTAGGTCATTGTCATTAGAGTCATTAGAGTCTCATTGTGATCATATTCAGTTTAGGAGAGTATCACTACGTGAGTGCTGAGCTTGCAACGTCCAATGTAAATGACGACTGAAGACCACATCGCGTTGTTTTGACGTAAAATAAACTGTTGCGAACCAGATCCGGGTAGCGCAGTGGTACTGGGTGTGAGTCAAGAAATCATACACAATGGTGCCAAGTTCAGTGGATATGGACAAACGACAATTCCTTTCGTAGTATAAACAAATGTGTACTGCTGCACTGGTTTACAATGGTGAGCTGAGAGCTCACATTGCATGTTGAATCATTCAACTGTAAAAATTATTTTCATCCGCTTACTGCTTAGGCAATTTTCGTATTGCCGTTCGTGAGCCAATTATGCCACGACACGGAGCTTGGAAGATGAAGTGCCCAAGAATTTTCAAATTTTTCACGGCAACATGTACACTCAGTGGCACAGATTTTTTGTATCCCGATTATTATTTTAGAGGAATTTGTGTTTGTCTTCCCTTTTAATCATGATATGTATTGGTAGAACTCTGTATTACTAATTGTTTGTTTTCAATAAGAGATCTGAATTATTCATTCCAGATGATAAAAACAGGTTTCAAATATAATGGTACGGAGTTGAAACCTTTAGCGCTTAGCAATGAAATTATATTGTCCTTTCAAGATTTCCAAGGTTCTCTGTTGCTGTGCATTTTGATTTTGAGGCACCTTGCCGACCAACATGCATCACTTTATTTTTAGGTGCAAACAAAATTTAGCTGCAAAATAACTCACGGGCACAATACTTCACTGATAATTTGTTTTACCGAAAATTAATAACGCATTTATTCAAATTCGATGATTCACTCTGCAGCAGTGTCCCAATATCTAGGATATACGAATAACTTTCAGACACGGAAATTCGTATTACTGCCTGTATCGTTCCGTGCGGAATTGGAAGTGTTTGCCCGAAAGCATTGGCATTCTATTCCAATCCGGCTTGCGCAAACCCAGATAAAATTAATGGAAAGAATCCAGGTGAACAAGCTTTATGTAGCTTTTCCGCTTCAGTTCCATTTTCCTACATACCGATCTGTACGAAATTTCAGTCATTTATTGAATAGTGTGAGAATAAATGATATGGATTGACAAGAATATATTATATCAGCTTGTTTTATATTGCCTCAGGAAAATTGAACAGATTTGTTACATTTTTCTGGGAAATTCTAATGGCCATTTCATGTGTACGATATTTCCATCCATCTAACATTTGTAGTGTGAAACCGATTCTCCCGGTGTATCATTCGTGGGTGATTTGTTACTCAACAACCGACTGAAGTAATTCAACATGGATGTGACAGAACATCGGCATTTACCTTCCAGAAAATATGTTTCACATCGGAACCCAAATGATACATCAGCCACGTGGGATATTCTGATATATTCTGCGATGTTTATTGTAACCACATAATTACTAAAAACTCTGTTAAGTCTCTAATGTGTATTTCTCACGACTGTTCTTCAACCCTTGACTTCATTCCGGGACCACTGTTATTACAGAGACATAAATACTTTGGTCGCTCACTTATTTTGTTTGCATAGTATACCGACTATATAGAGGATGCTCACAGGTTCGATGGCAAGTAATCCAGGTTTCTGGTAAAGAATTGACGTTCTGGAAGCCGCTGCAATTTTGCACTTTTTTCCTCTCACTTGAGTCAGTGACCTCCCGTCTGGCCCCTTCCGATCTGCACAAACCTGCTGATGTCGTAATCATTTGTCATAGGGAGAATGCTGAATAGGTATCGGCTTTGCAATGATCACTCCTAACATGATCTGTGATTTCGGTTATCCAAATTCAGATGTGCTCTGTAGTGAGGGAGTTCTCTGTGTTACAATTCACCCTATCTACTATAAGCAAAGCGACTTAAATCTCCTTGCCTACATGTGTGTCACGGTTGTGTTTCTGATAATGCGCGATAGCTATTTGATACTCGTGTTAGATATTTGGTAGTTCTGTTTGTCAGAACGAACCATCAGGTCACTGATATGCTCGTACTGATCCCAGCAATTTCACCCACGGTTTTACTGGTTCGAAGCATAAAATAAATTGATAACAGATTCTGACCTGCTTCTCGGTACGAAATACATCCCCTGTCGCACATACTCTCTTTGGTGGACTTTGACGAGAGTACGAATCCACTTCTATTCAGTCGTCTACTACGAGACAAAATGGATATCTCCTGATACACCAACAAAAACTTATTGTCGGTTTGACATGTGGTATTGAATAAGTAGTCAGGATGCTGTTCCTTTCCGTTTAGGGTGATGGGAGTCGGTTAAAATTACGGTTTTCCAGTGTTGGAGCCTTGGGAGCTTATCAATGGATGTGCAACTTCTTATTGGTTATTCGTTGTGCACTTGGAACGCTTCAATCGGTTTTTGCAAAACTGAAGATCTACAGTGCATCTCTTTAGTTTTCATCGCTCAGTCGTTCCCACAGATTTGATGTGCAGATTTGGTGGCACTAGAACATTGCCTATGATGTCATGTTGATTTATTGGTATGGAAGTTTGTAGAGTCAATCATTCATTTCAGTGCTGATTTGGAATAGCTTTCCAAGAGTCAGTAGAATTTCGTTTCATTCTGGCATGCGCAAAAATGGATGAGAAAAATTAGAAAACGCAGGTTGCGCAAAAGTCAGAGAACATACTTATTAGTTATGAAATAATGGACAGAGAACATTGTTAAATCTGCGTCAAAATAATGTTCCATCTATTGGATCAATCCGAGACTCATTAGAGCGGAGGCGACGAGGGCTATTTGATTGGTGAATCCGGAGGTGCCACCTGGGAGGGGAGTGAGTGGAAACACATTACCGAACACATACATTTCCGTGAAACAACTGTAAAAAGTTACAGAATGCATCTAACAAAAAGCTGGAAAGCGTTCTTTAGCATGGCTGAATGTTTAAATTGATTAATTCCGCGAAAATATCATTCGAATTGGAAGAGGATTATGACATGATTATTCATCCCTGAAACAATTCGGAATTTGATTCGTTTTGAACATAGTGTTGACACCAGGTCCAGTGATCAAGTATGGCTTACTTGTTGTACTGACTTCTACCCATCCGGTAGAAGTTATTGGAGGTAAAATTACAGGTAAATGTGAATTTTAGTTGTGTTGCTTTATTCGTGACAGTGAGCTAAATCTGTATTATATACATATATTTTCTGTCTATTTTTGATAAATACGGACAGCAATGCATGGTTTTGCTTCAGAGATAAATGATTTGGAGAGCGGAACTGTTAGCAAATAGGTGCGTAAAAAACCAAAACCTTCGGTGTGTCTTGTGAGTTTGGTTGCATTCTAGTGAGACAGATATGAGATGGTTCTAAGGAGTATTCCTTAAGTTGCCAACTAAATGGCACGAAACAACGCCTTTATTAGAATTTGTTTTTCAGATGGCCGACTTGGCAGCTTTGAAACATTGTCTAGGATATATTGTCTCTTTTTTGGTTTTGAACGTCCGTCATATTGCCATAGGACTTTGTGCTGGATGGAAATAGATTTCCCGAAAGATCCAGGGTTTCGTAGCAATTTTGAGTATGTGAACCAGTGGCTATCATTTAACGACTCAGAGAGCTCGAAGTTAACGAACTTATCTAATGATCATGAAATGAGAGACGAAAAATATTGCATAGCATAATACTTTCAGCAACATAAAGTTCCTAATATTGGATCAAACTGAAACTCGTTAGCATGAGTACAAGGAGAGCCGTGTGATTGGTCGGTTTTGAGGTACTCTCTGGGAAATGACAAATATTTATAATGTTATGGAATTGAGACATTTCCTTGCGACGAGTGTTTTCAAGTACAAAATGCAATTATTCACAAGTGAACAAAGAACCTTAAACCAGTATTCATTGTCTGAATTGATCTTCCTTACGAAAAGATCATTGAAATTCAAAATTGAATAAGGCGTGATCGTTATAATTCGAAATGATTTGAGAGGTTGTTCGTTGTTCACAGTAAATCCCGACAGCAGATTCACTTATCAAGACTGGCTTACCTGTTACTGGTATCTATTTGTTCAAAAGTCAGTAAAGATGGAATGATACACACGTTTTACTTAAATCTGTGTTGTTATACTCATGAGCATGACAAAACAGTTAGAAGAGGAATTCTAGTTTGTCATATAGATCAGGTGAAAATGTCAACATGTGGTTCCTCTTAGGCGAGAATTATATCAGTTGTGAAATTGGTAACGAATAAATGTGCTCAGTCAGAGAACGGAATAATTCATCAGTGGGTGCATTTTGGAGTAGACTTAGGGAATTAATTGAATGGAATGGAGCCGAGCAATGAAACGTATTTCCAAATAACAATGTGATCAATAATACGTTTCTTTTATGTCCATCGAGATCACAGCGCACTGTGTTCTACGGAATGTTCAGGATGCTGTGCTTGATGCATTTGTTTTAGTATGTAGAGCACAGTCAAAACTCGGTATAATAGATCACAAGCGGAAATGGAAATGTGTTGTCAGAATTGGTGAAGAGAGTATAACAAATCGTGAATAAATATGCCTAAGAAAACCTAAACATAGAAAATTTAGATCATACAAGTATGGTGAAGGGAAGTAAAGGGGGATGAAAATGGAAGAGAAAAAAAAGGAAGAGGGATACAAAATAACAAAAAATGAATAAAAAGAAAAAAGATGCAGGAAAAATAAATAATTAACATAAAATGAGACGATAATATTGAAGGGAAAGTAGAAGTTGGAAGGAATATAAGAAAAAATCAAAGAGCGAAGAGGGGAAAAGACAGAAAAAAATTCAGAGAAGTACTTGAAAAAAAAGAGGAAAAAACAGAGACAGTTCAAAAATATCACACAAGAAAGAAGGTTAGACAAACATATTACGTTAAGAAAATATTCTTCCGAATTATCAATTGGACTGTCCAATGTCATAGATATTCTATCAGTTAGGTTGTGAGAAACAAATGGACGAGCAAATTGCCAAATCACCGTTCTAATTATTATATAGGAAGAACAATGCGAATAGGAAATGCTCGTTGTGGGTTAAGAGACTGATCAAATTGCGATGAGAATAGAGGATGATGGGAATTGTGCGAGATCGTCGGTCAGGTGAATAATGATGATGGGCAAATTGCTATTTGAATGAGAACAAACATACTGATGCAGATCATCTCACCTTCTTCTCTTTGTCGTCAACCTGTGCAAAATGAAGAAAATGTGGAAAGAAATGAGGTGGAGTCAATTTGTCTTGTCTCACAGATGCGAGTTATATGTGCTGTTGCAGATAGAATTGCACTGCACATTGCATGCACTTCGATCAGTTTGAATTTGAATTCGAATGAATGAATGGATGAATGAATGAATGAATGAATGATGGAATGGAATGGGAGGAATGCATGCACTTGGATCAAATCCTTCGAGTGTCCAAATCAATTGAATTAGAACAACCATGAGACTAATTTTTCAGAGCATAAAATTCTTCTCCCTCATTCTCCATTCGAACGTAAAATGTGATAGATATTCTATCAGTTAGGTTGTGAGAAACAAATGGACGAGCAAATTGCCAAATCACCGTTCTAATTATTATATGGGAAGAACAATGCGAATAGGAAATGCTCGTTGTGAGTTAAGAGACTGATCAAATTGGGATGAGAAGAGAGGATGATGGGAATTGTGCGAGATCATCGGTCAGTTGAATAATGATGATGGGCAAATTGCTTTTTGAATGAGAACAAACATACTGATGCAGATCATCTCACCTTCTTCTCTTTGTCGTCAACCTGTGCAAAATGAAGAAAATGTGGAAAGAAATGAGGTGGAGTCAATTTGTCTTGTCTCACAGATGCGAGTTATATGTGCTGTTGCAGATAGAATTGCACTGCACATTGCATGCACTTCGATCAGTTTGAATTTGAATTTCAATGAATGAACGAATGAATGAATGAATGAATGAATGATGGAATGGAATGGGAGGAATGCATGCACTTGGATCAAATCATTCGAGTGTCCAAGTCAATTGAATTAGAACAACCATGAGACTAATTTTTCATAGCATGAAATTCTTCTCCCTCATTCTCCATTCGAATGTAAAATGTGATAGATATTCTATCAGTTAGGTTGTGAGAAACCAATGGACGAGCAAATTGCCAAATCACTGTTCTAATTATTATATAGGAAGAACAAAGCGAATAGGAAATGCTCGTTGTGGGTTAAGAGACTGATGAAATTGGGATGAGAATAGAGGATGATGAAATTGTGCGAGATCGTCGGTCAGGTGAATGATGATGATGGGCAAATTGCTATTTGAATGAGAACAAACATACTGATGCAGATCATCTCACCTTCTTTTCTTTGTCGTCAACCTGTGCAAAATGTAAATAATGTGGAAAGAAATGAGGTGGAGTCAATTTGTCTTGTCTCACAGATGCGAGTTATATGTGCTGTTGCAGATAGAATTGCACTGCACATTGCATGCACTTCGATCAGTTTGAATTTGAATTCGAATGAATGAATGATTGAATGAATGAATGAATGATGGAATGGAATGGGAGGAATGCATGCACTTGGATCAAATCATTCGAGTGTCCAAATCAATTGAATTAGAACAACCATGAGACTAATTTTTCAGAGCATAAAATTCTTCTCCCTCATTCTCCATTCGAATGTAAAATGTGATAGATATTCTATCAGTTACGTTGTGAGAAACCAATGGACGAGCAAATTGCCAAATCACCGTTCTAATTATTATATAGGAAGAACAATGCGAATGGGAAATGCTCGTTGTGAGTTAAGACACTGATCAAATTGGGATGAGAAGAGAGGATGATGGGAATTGTGCGAGATCGTCGGTCAGTTGAATAATGATGATGGGCAAATTGCTATTTGAATGAGAACAAACATACTGATGCAGATCATCTCACCTTCTCCTCTTTGTCGTCAACCTGTGCAAAATGGAAATAATGTGGAAAGAAATGAGGTGGAGTCAATTTGTCTTGTCTCACAGATGCGAGTTATATGTGCTGTTGCAGATAGAATTGCACTGCACATTGCATGCACTTCGATCAGTTTGAATTTGAATTCGAATGAATGAATGAATGAATGAATGAATGAATGAATGATGGAATGGAATGGGAGGAATGCATGCACATGGATCAAATCCTTCGAGTTTCCAAATCAATTGTATTAGAACAACCATGAGACTAATTTTTCAGAGCATAAAATTCTTCTCCCTCATTCTCCATTCGAATGTAAAATGTGATAGATATTCTATCAGTTACGTTGTGAGAAACCAATGGACGAGCAAATTGCCAAATCACCGTTCTAATTATTATATAGGAAGAACAATGCGAATAGGAAATGCTCGTTGTGGGTAAGGGGACTAATGAAATTGGGATGAGAAGAGAGGATGATGGGAATTGTGCGAGATCATCGGTCAGTTGAATAATGATGATGGGCAAATTGCTATTTGAATGAGAACAAACATACTGATGCAGATCATCTCACCTTCTTTTCTTTGTCGTCAACCTGTGCAAAATGGAAATAATGTGGAAAGAAATGAGGTGGAGTCAATTTGTCTTGTCTCACAGATGCGAGTTATATGTGCTGTTGCAGATAGAATTGCACTGCACATTGCATGCACTTCGATCAGTTTGAATTTGAATTCGAATGAATGAATGAATGAATGAATGAATGAATGAGAAACTGAATGAATGAATGATGGAATGGAATGGGAGGAATGCATGCACTTGGATCAAATCATTCGAGTGTCCAAATCAATTGAATTAGAACAACCATGAGACTAATTTTTCAGAGCATAAAATTCTTCTCCCTCATTCTCCATTCGAATGTAAAATGTGATAGATATTCTATCAGTTAGGTTGTGAGAAACCAATGGACGAGCAAATTGCCAAATCACCGTTCTAATTATTATATAGGAAGAACAATGCGAATAGGAAATGCTCGTTGTGGGTTAAGAGACTGATGAAATTGGGATGAGAATAGAGGATGATGAAATTGTGCGAGATCGTCGGTCAGGTGAATGATGATGATGGGCAAATTGCTATTTGAATGAGAACAAACATACTGATGCAGATCATCTCACCTTCTTTTCTTTGTCGTCAACCTGTGCAAAATGGAAATAATGTGGAAAGAAATGAGGTGGAGTCAATTTGTCTTGTCTCACAGATGCGAGTTATATGTGCTGTTGCAGATAGAATTGCACTGCACATTGTATGCACTTCGATCAGTTTGAATTTGAATTTGAATGAATGAATGAATGAATGAATGAATGAATGAATGAATGAATGATTGAATGATGGAATGGAATGGGAGGAATGCATGCACTTGGATCAAATCATTCGAGTGTCCAAATCAATTGAATTAGAACAACCATGAGACTAATTTTTCATAGCATGAAATTCTTCTCCCTCATTCTCCATTCGAATGTAAAATGTGATAGATATTCTATCAGTTACGTTGTGAGAAACCAATGGACGAGCAAATTGCCAAATCACTGTTCTAATTTTTATATGGGAAGAACAATGCGAATAGGAAATGCTCGTTGTGGGTTAAGCGACTGATCAAATTGCGATGAGAAGAGAGGATGATGGGAATTGTGCGAGATCATCGGTCAGTTGAATAATGATGATGGGCAAATTGCTATTTGAATGAGAACAAACATACTGATGCAGATCATCTCACCTTCTTCTCTTTGTCGTCAACCTGTGCAAAAAGAAGAAAATGTGGAAAGAAATGAGGTGGAGTCAATTTGTCTTGTCTCACAGATGCGAGTTATATGTGCTGTTGCAGATAGAATTGCACTGCACATTGCATGCACTTCGATCAGTTTGAATTTGAATTCGAATGAATGAATGATTGAATGAATGAATGAATGATGGAATGGAATGGGAGGAATGCATGCACTTGGATCAAATCATTCGAGTGTCCAAATCAATTGAATTAGAACAACCATGAGACTAATTTTTCAGAGCATAAAATTCTTCTCCCTCATTCTCCATTCGAATGTAAAATGTGATAGATATTCTATCAGTTACGTTGTGAGAAACCAATGGACGAGCAAATTGCCAAATCACCGTTCTAATTATTATATAGGAAGAACAATGCGAATGGGAAATGCTCGTTGTGAGTTAAGACACTGATCAAATTGGGATGAGAAGAGAGGATGATGGGAATTGTGCGAGATCGTCGGTCAGTTGAATAATGATGATGGGCAAATTGCTATTTGAATGAGAACAAACATACTGATGCAGATCATCTCACCTTCTTCTCTTTGTCGTCAACCTGTGCAAAATGGAAATAATGTGGAAAGAAATGAGGTGGAGTCAATTTGTCTTGTCTCACAGATGCGAGTTATATGTGCTGTTGCAGATAGAATTGCACTGCACATTGCATGCACTTCGATCAGTTTGAATTTGAATTCGAATGAATGAATGAATGAATGAATGAATGAATGAATGATGGAATGGAATGGGAGGAATGCATGCACATGGATCAAATCCTTCGAGTTTCCAAATCAATTGTATTAGAACAACCATGAGACTAATTTTTCAGAGCATAAAATTCTTCTCCCTCATTCTCCATTCGAATGTAAAATGTGATAGATATTCTATCAGTTACGTTGTGAGAAACCAATGGACGAGCAAATTGCCAAATCACCGTTCTAATTATTATATAGGAAGAACAATGCGAATAGGAAATGCTCGTTGTGGGTAAGGGGACTAATGAAATTGGGATGAGAAGAGAGGATGATGGGAATTGTGCGAGATCATCGGTCAGTTGAATAATGATGATGGGCAAATTGCTATTTGAATGAGAACAAACATACTGATGCAGATCATCTCACCTTCTTTTCTTTGTCGTCAACCTGTGCAAAATGGAAATAATGTGGAAAGAAATGAGGTGGAGTCAATTTGTCTTGTCTCACAGATGCGAGTTATATGTGCTGTTGCAGATAGAATTGCACTGCACATTGCATGCACTTCGATCAGTTTGAATTTGAATTCGAATGAATGAATGAATGAATGAATGAATGAATGAGAAACTGAATGAATGAATGATGGAATGGAATGGGAGGAATGCATGCACTTGGATCAAATCATTCGAGTGTCCAAATCAATTGAATTAGAACAACCATGAGACTAATTTTTCAGAGCATAAAATTCTTCTCCCTCATTCTCCATTCGAATGTAAAATGTGATAGATATTCTATCAGTTAGGTTGTGAGAAACCAATGGACGAGCAAATTGCCAAATCACCGTTCTAATTATTATATAGGAAGAACAATGCGAATAGGAAATGCTCGTTGTGGGTTAAGAGACTGATGAAATTGGGATGAGAATAGAGGATGATGAAATTGTGCGAGATCGTCGGTCAGGTGAATGATGATGATGGGCAAATTGCTATTTGAATGAGAACAAACATACTGATGCAGATCATCTCACCTTCTTTTCTTTGTCGTCAACCTGTGCAAATTGGAAATAATGTGGAAAGAAATGAGGTGGAGTCAATTTGTCTTGTCTCACAGATGCGAGTTATATGTGCTGTTGCAGATAGAATTGCACTGCACATTGTATGCACTTCGATCAGTTTGAATTTGAATTTGAATGAATGAATGAATGAATGAATGAATGAATGAATGAATGAATGATTGAATGATGGAATGGAATGGGAGGAATGCATGCACTTGGATCAAATCATTCGAGTGTCCAAATCAATTGAATTAGAACAACCATGAGACTAATTTTTCATAGCATGAAATTCTTCTCCCTCATTCTCCATTCGAATGTAAAATGTGATAGATATTCTATCAGTTACGTTGTGAGAAACCAATGGACGAGCAAATTGCCAAATCACTGTTCTAATTTTTATATGGGAAGAACAATGCGAATAGGAAATGCTCGTTGTGGGTTAAGCGACTGATCAAATTGCGATGAGAAGAGAGGATGATGGGAATTGTGCGAGATCATCGGTCAGTTGAATAATGATGATGGGCAAATTGCTATTTGAATGAGAACAAACATACTGATGCAGATCATCTCACCTTCTTCTCTTTGTCGTCAACCTGTGCAAAAAGAAGAAAATGTGGAAAGAAATGAGGTGGAGTCAATTTGTCTTGTCTCACAGATGCGAGTTATATGTGCTGTTGCAGATAGAATTGCACTGCACATTGCATGCACTTCGATCAGTTTGAATTTGAATTCGAATGAATGAATGAACCAATGAATGAATGAATGAATAACTGAATGAATGAATGATGGAATGGAATGGGAGGAATGCATGCACTTGGATCAAATCATTCGAGTGTCCAAATCAATTGAATTAGAACAACCATGAGACTAATTTT